TATATATATATATATATATATATATATATATATAAACCTGTGTCACACAAGATAAAATTTATCACTCAATTTCCTTTTCTGGAAAGTAAATTCTTTTACTTAAATCCTATTAACATGAGTATTAAGATTAGCCTAATAGTTAGAGAAAAAAGGGGTTATATAAAAGTGTGAGGACTTAGATTCAAGCTTCATTAACATCTAATGATTCCCATGTATAAAAGAATCCTACTTTGTCAAAATTATCACTTGAAAAGAAAGTTGAGAAGATAAGAAAAAACAACTAACAAATTATTCTTTTAACTTTTCTTTTTATTTATTTATTTAATTTTCTTATTATTAAATTGATTTATTTTGGTTGTCTTTTCTATCCATTGAGATAAATGACCTCAATTGCTTATACACACGACAAAAAAAAAATAAAAATTAATGATCATACATTAACAATGTAAAATTACACTATCAACCAATTAAATATCATCATTGGAATAATTTCATGTTTATTATAAAAATTAACAACTTATCATAAATAGTTGTTTGTGATTGAATAACAGTACAAAACTACAAATTATACATTTACCTATCACATGTATGGCGGAGGCTAGGGCGGTCCATGCATGCTCCACTAATTTTATCGCTTAGATTAATGAGGCAGAGATTATTAGAGTCCACCTTCCACACTACATTTTAGCATCTCATCTTCACACGATCACCAAACACCAAGCTAGAAACTACTATCCATTGTTTGCTACTGTGAGAGAATTTTCAGCACTAGCACCATTTCCCCATCCCACCACCCACCGATTTTTTTCCCCTTTCCCTCTTCTTCTTCCCCTTTTCTTTGAGTCCAGTTTTTGTTTTGCTAGTTTGATGCAAAAGAGACAAACAAGTGTAAATTACAGTGACATACACAGGTGAACAACTCGTATGAAGGAGATGGGCATGGGACCACCTATAGTAGCAAAGGTGCTCAAGTGCAAACTATGTGCAACGATGGTGGAGTGTGAAACACGAAGTTGCACGATTACACATGAAGCAATGTGAGTGCGGACCACGACATGGCTAATGTGCATAATCTAGTTTTGTTGCACTAGTTTTGTTTCCTTCTTTTCCATTTTTTTCTAAGAGACACACAAATTCAGATTGTGGTCATGGATCTACTTCAATAGAGCATGATGACTTTGTTTGAGTGGGAGAGAAAAATGGAAGTGAAACGGTTGGATATGGATGCCACCATCATCTGAGATAGTGAAGGACTTAATTGAAAAAGAGGCCATCAATTGATTAAAAGGAGGCCAATGTCAGGTGATTTAGTGGTGATGAAATTGTTGAGAAGAAAAGGACTATTAAAGTAAGTGTATCATAATTATTAAAACCTAGATTACTCCAAAGTTATTATTTGTATTCACCATAGACCACATAAGATGATCTACAATAGAATTAGTCCACATGTATAAGTAATTAACATTACTATTGAACAAAAAAAAAATGCATCATTTTTAAAATAAAATAAAAATTAAGAGACTAAATTTAACATTTTAATTTATTCACAACCATACAAAGCTTCCTGTGCACATCATTAAAATAATGAAAATAATGATAAATGATTATTGATAAATCATTTAATGAATTTAATAACTCAAATGCGTTTATTTGTATCGTTTTTTTTTTTCCTTTTACTGACGTATTTGTTATAGGATCCAGAATGGCAACAGCCTTGTACAAAAGAGAAAGATAACCAAATGAAGCACTAATATACAAAGAGTTAGTTGACTATAAAGCCTTACATTCTTTCTATATCTTCCAATTGAAGATCAGCATCAATTTTCTACGTATTTGTTTCTTTCCGTTATAAATTATTCTGGTTTCCACACTTGTATGGTACATGTTAAAAGTCTTTTGGAGTAGGAAGTGAAGAAGGGTGTGCCAAATTTGGATTGGGATTCTGCATTCAGTCTTTTCACTTATTCAAAACATAACTTTTGGATGAAGATTGGACAATTCATATTTTATAAGCAGTGATTTAAAACATATAAACAGTCCCATTTTCATCCAACAGTTATACATACACTCAATAGGTGAATGCGCCAAAAAGTGAATGCCCTGGATCCAGTTCTTCCAAATTCTCCATTTTGACTCAGTGGTAAAGTTTGAAAGAAGCCCCGGCTAGCTCCTTCAGAAATGAAACGACATCGTCCGGTGAATCAAGCGTATACCGAGCATTCGTTCTAGTTCTTCCAACAGAACAAGAGAAGTAATTCTCTTTCTTAAGGTCAAGGACATTCCATGATACCTTTTCGGGTGCTGGCTTTCGTGGGGAACTGCATATATGGTTATTTGTTTTCTTCTCAGAATTTGACACTGGCCGTTGTGCCTTATTTTGAGATGATTTTGGTCCACTCTTAGTAGCTGGAACCTTTAATGATGGTTTCCTCTCAACAGGACACTTAACTCCTTCTGTTGTTACCTTGCTTTGTGGAAGACCCACACCAATAGAGGGGAGATCCGGCTCAAAAAATGAATAAATATCTTCATCCTGTTTCAGTTAATAATATCAAATATGGTTGCTCCAAAGTATGTAACTATATAGTTAAAAGTGACCAAATTTCATGCAATTAAATAGCTGATAGACAATGAAGAAATATTAAATACCCCCTCTATTCAACAATAACCGCACTTTAAGGTTTTTGCACACAAATTATTGACAATAATAAATGTATCAGATTTTATACTATTTTACTAAAATAGCCCACCTTCTAAATAAATACGGTTGGTATTGTACTTCAATTAGAATTGGAGATTTAACTCGAAAATATGCGTAAATATATATTAATGAGATCTGCATTAAAAGTAAGTATTTACTATCGAAGTAAATCTTCAATTTTGATAGGAGAATAGCTCAAGTGTATCTTAGGAACTATACCTAAGTTTCATCCTTTTTCAAATGCTAAAATTGCAGTCATGGTGGGACAGTAATCAACTGTACAGTGCTTTGTATAATTTTGAAAATTTCATTACGATTTAATGCAAAGAGTAACTGAAACAGGGAAACCGAGTTTAGCATATTCAAAATCAAGCAAGAAATTGAAAATCCAAAAAACTATTTTTGATGACCCTTTATGGGAAAAAGTTTACAGCATGCTAAAAGAAACACAAACATGACAGAAACAATGTAATAAAAATAGCTTTCAAAACATATCAATTTACCTTCCCCAGAAAATGTCCTATGCAAAGAACATAATCAATGGGTGATGTCATGGATTTACTGTGCACTATCTCACCCAAGATGCGGTCAATGGCTGCTCCCTGATTAGAAAAGGAATTTAGAGAAGACATTTAACCATGTATTACAAGTGAAAATACAACTGAGGTCAATTTTGGAAACATGAGGTCACCTTTGTAACGCCAACAGGTCGCACCTCAACAGATCGGCTCCCTTGAACAACTTCAACTGATGCATTAGAAATTGGACCTGTCCAGAGATGCTGCAGCATGTCCCTTGCTTGAAGTTTTCCAAACTCAACATCTGATTAAGATCACAGGATCAGTAACGGAAAAAGACAGCTGAAAAAATGAAAAATCTCCATAAGAACAATTCAATCACCTGCATATTTGTAATTCCATACAAGTGAAGTTTCCCTTTCTTCAAAATCAAAATGTGAGCGAGGTGTTCTTTCCTTGAAGTACTCAAAAACATGCTGAAATGCAGGACCAGCATCGTAAGTCAATAATGCAAGAAAGAACATCAAACATCAAATGAATTGAAACTAAAAATTTAGTACCTTCACACTATCGACCCATTCCATATTCAGATGCTCTGGCATTGTTGTCATCCACTCACCCTTTGAAGGATGTAAAAACATTCCATTCTCAGCTGCCAACCACATGTCATATTCTTTGAAGTTCTGTTATAGGAAATATGTTAAAAGTGGACCGAATAATATTTCACAAAGAAAGAAAATAATGTGCAAATAATTACATCATCTAGGACTTTTCTGCCACTTCCACTGAGCACAACAACTGTGGTATTTGGATCACGGCAAAGTGCTGTCAAGGGTTGTCTCAATTTTGGATGCACCTTAAGTTCCATTTCTTTAATCTGATCACCTGTTTTCTCGACTGGTTCAGTTAAAGTTCCACTGAATCCCTGTAGTGTGTATAACCACCAGTGTCAAAAAAAAGTTAATACAAAAATTAATAAATGTAAACCAATGCTAGGCCAGGATTAATTATCAGTGGAACATTGTAAGAAACCAAAATAAAAATCCAGCTTTATAATGATAATCAATTTGCTTTAGGAGTTGCAAACTCAAACTTTGGAGTTAAACATCATTCTGACAAAGTCTTTTAACATACGTAAAGTGTAAATCCAACATAGACACAAACATATCACATTTGTTAGATATAAACCACTCATCATTCATGAGCCTTCATCTCTGGCTCAAGCATTTTGAATAGTTGATTCAAGACATAGTACGGATGCATCGATAATCAAGTGGTCAAGAATTTGATCTTTACAGTCCCCTTTTTTTAAAATACAAAGATACATTTCAGTAGAAGGTAAGATGAGCCAGTGCAATGTTTGGCGGGTTGTACAGGTTGGATTATGCAGGTTAGAGGGTTGAAAAAGTGTAACATGACGTAACCTGTTTGAGCGAGTTATGCAAGTTAAACCATTAGGTTATTTTGACAATCCTACCAAATGTGAATTTCTTCTTCCTATTTACCATCAAATCATTTTCTGTCAGAACTTGTAAGACTTTGTTCATAATCAGAATCTCTAAGGTCCTTGGTGTACACTAGAATATTATCAGAGAAGACAAGCACACACTTCCTCATAAATGGTTTAAGTTGAGCACTTCATTCATAAGTGATTGAAAGGTGGAAGGTACATTGATCAAGCCTAAGGACATCACAAGGAATTCATAATGCCCGATGAGTGGCAAAAAATGCCCCTTGAAAAGCCATTAATATGAGCTTCACCTTTTGTGACTTGGATGTCTTCTCTAGATCAAAATACTGCTTAAACCTAGCTCTACATCACTTGTACCCAGCTCCATTATAAGTCAGAAATAGAATTGTAGATTTTTTGGCTACCACCTCTTCTTCGATATAACCTTATGCACCCTAGGACTGCAAAAAATTTGAGTCACCATCCTTGTGTGTTTCCAGCTTCTCCAACACCCCCTTCATTTGTCCAATTGTTACTGACCCATACTTGCTTTGTTCCATCTGCCTCAGCATCTTATTTATCCTTGTCTTTAATTGTCATTCACCACCATGATGGTGTGCAATCAAGAATTCTCCATTCACCATCCATGGCTCCTCAATCATATTCCTTCATTTCTGTGATAGAGGTACCCACCAGCTCCTGGATGGAGCTCTAATACAACTTGATAAAACTGGAATCAGGGAAACACACACACACGAACAACTCTGACTCTATTACGAGACCCACCCAAATAAGAAAGAGTTCAATCCAATTACACTGAAATTTTAAGAATTCCAGCACTCTCCCAATTGTGTTATTTTCTCCTCCCTCCAACTACCTAAAGTGCTTAACTAGCCACCAATTAACCTAACTAAACACCCGTAGTTAGTTATCCTCTTGACCCTTCTTAGTAAGCCTTGCATAAACCAGTGTAATTGGGGTCTTTAGCTGTCAAAATACCCTAGTCTTGTTCGGCTGCACTCAAGATTTCACTATATCTATCCAGGAAATGAAGCACTACTTTGTAGAAAGCACTCAGATAAGTAGTAAAAGACAAGGAGGAAACAAAAAGACATTTTCCGAGAAATCACAAGCTTCATTGTAAGACAGCATACCAAAATAAGCAATCTATTAGTTGACTTCTGATAACGCTCAATTGCAGTCTTGGTTGGAAGCCGAGGTGGAACTTGTCTTGTCCTTAGTTGTGCCTCAATAACAGTATCATTTAATTCACTGCAAATATTCAAAGATTTATCATGGTAATGTGCTCCTAAACATTAATGCAAGGTATATATTATTTACAAAATATTCAAATATTTCGGTTGATAAATCACAACCACAAATCATCATGACTTTCTACTATTCTTAAAATACATATGTAACAAGTAAATAACCATCATAATTTAGCATGAAATTATGTTCATAGCTTTGCAAATTTATCATAGGCAACAGAAGCTTTACGAACGACCACACAAATTAAAGTCCGTAGACTAAATTGTAGACTCTTAGGACACGTATGTATAAAAGTTGACCACTCTAAAAGGATTACTTACATCCACTATAATGACAAACACGAAATAAGAAAAGATATTCAAATTACTAAGGATTTTCTTAAGAAGAAATAGAAGCTATTAAAAGAAATCTAAAAAAATGTTTAATATTTTCTTCTATGATTTTAGGGTACACGTTAACATAATCCAGATACTAATATCAATACCTTACGAAAGTTCCTGCCCATTCTTGAGCAGTGTGGGATTTTACATGAAGAAAGTTATGCTTATGTCTCTTTTCCCTTTCCGCAGATTCCATATTCAGAGCCCTGGCAATTGCATCAGCAACTTCTGTAATGTTCCAGGGGTTGACAAGAATTGCCCCGGCACCAAGAGATTGTGCAGCACCAGCAAACTACAAGCATGCCAAATATCAGGCATCAGCATCAACATAATACATATCTAGTTTCAGAAATCAACATGCAATAAATAATTTATCTATACGTCACAAGAAGCTTCCTATAAACCAAGACAGGAACTATAAATCTATGATCTAGACAGGGATAAAGACATACTTGTATTGCAAGAAACTTAATATTGAAATTAAAAAGTAAAATAATTTATTTGATGTGATACTTTGATTATAATGGAAATGATAGCATGTCAGATGGACACTATAATACAAATCAAATTTCTTGGTGTTTAACTCTTCTCTCTAAAAGGATTATTATAAACAATTCAAACAATAACTGAACTTAGAAGCAAATTTTGAATTCATTTTCTTATAGCAACTTTTGGTACCTAAATGATAACCTAAAGCTCGCAGTGTTAAGACTCAGCATCAGTTTTATATCTCTTAGATGGAGCATTATAGACAGTTTTATCGGGACAAACTCTTGCAATTTTTGAATTTATTAAACTATACAATAACTCAACTGTAACATAGCCTGAATTAACAAAGCGAAATAAAACAAAATACACTAACAAGTTTCTGTAATTACTTCACTAAGAATGAGAACCCCTTTCTTTTTCTCCTGGCAGGCAACGAATTCATAGCTGACAAGATTCATTCCATCCCTCAGAGATGTGACTAGTGCTACATCTGGGTAAGATAAGTGAGTATAAATATAAAATTAGCAGAAAACTGACAATATGATAAACTTATTATCAGAAATAAAGTTTTGTTCTCCAAAGACAATCAAGAATTTTTCAAGAAAATGTGTATTGACTATACATGAGAAAGTGACCTAGACACATCAAACATGTTTTCACCTTTTCCCAATATACTAGTCCCCATTTGTCTGGATGCTACTGTTCATTTCACTCAAAATGTATTAAAATTTACAGTACTGCTATGTATACATATGATAAATGAACAGCATGGAAGCAAAACTTTGGTAATAATTTGGTGTACATGTCGCTTGAATTATTAGAAATGGTTTACATGGTATATCTCTTGTATGGTTATTTGCACGAAACATTTTGTTCTGTAATTTAGCAAATAAGGGCTTTAAAGCTAGCAAGTAGCAACTACTAAAAATGTTAAAATTGTTTCCTTTATCTAAAACAAATAAGCATAACTATATGTCAATGAGTGAATAGAATAGAAAACATCATGACTAAGTGAAAATTGCATTGTATTAATTAGAAAAATTACATTGGTGCTAATCAAGACAACAAGCACATTATAGATGATTCAAAGAAGCAAACAATTTTTGAGATTATTAGGTAATACACTGGCTTCAGTTTGGGTGCTGGGGTAAGCAACCACTCTCAAATCAGTTTCCAACACTTTACCTTTTGGTGTACCAGACAAATTTATACATAATGGACAAAGAAAGGGCAGAAAAGCGTATACAACATTTCAGTGCAAAACGAAAAAGGTAAACCGATCCCCAAGATTGCTACCTCTCCCAAAAGAAAGTACCCTAACAATTTGCCTATTTAATTTCATAAAATACAAAAAACTTTAAGAATCTAGAAGCACACTGAAAAAGAACTTAACTGCAGATATAGAAATTTAAGCATGCTGACAACTGACAATTCAAAATGAAAAGTTATTCACTGAATAGCTCAGTCAAACTAAAATAAAAATGTAAAAAGAAAACTTACCAGTAACAGCATACAAAGCACATAGAGCATTAAAGTCAAGTGAGCGATCCTGTAGAGCAAAAAGATAATTGTTAGACCGTCAAACATATAAAAATCTTCAGCCAAGTCAATATTAATAATAACAGATGTCGACTAATGATCAATCATCAGAATAAGCATATAAAAAATATCAAATCTGATTTCCATATCACGACCAGTATAACATTCAAAGTTCATAGTTATGAATAAAACCTCAGTCCTCAGTCACTGTTAATTTCATAACTAAAGAAAAATAAAAACTTGGCCTATAACCAATTTATGCTGTATGATCTATGGCTTTACTCTTCCTTTTCCCCAATCAGATACAAATGTGTAATTTTCAGTCGACAACAACAGGAATATTAAATCTTCTTTCAATATTCTGTAATTTTTTCATGTCAAATAATTCATCACACTTATTTTACCTTGCATAGTTTAACAAATTTTGTGTATTGAAAAAAAAAAATTACTGCTAATTTTGATAAGAACCTAGGGAAAACCACACCACAAAAGTGTGGGATTGAAGCCTAAGGTTTTATAAGCCCCACACTAGAATCCCATACTTTCAACGTGGAATAGAAGCCCATACCTTGCAATTGGATCATAACAGATTCACATGATCTTCATGTAGATACATCAAAACAAATGTGGTTGTTGTCTCACCTAGGAAAAGATCCCTTGGTTCAAATGTTGTTTTAGCTTCTTTTTTTTTCTACATTTGTTTATCCGAGAACAAAGCTTGAAGGAAAAATTCTTCCCCGAAAGCAATCAAAATCAGGAAGTACAAAATTAAAGGGTATTTTATTTGTCATTTAAATATGCAAGAATGAAAGTAAAATAGAAACCAGACCAACCAACCATCCCCCTATTTTCCCTCTCCTATTTGATTGCATAAAATTAACAAATAAGTAAAAAAAAAAGTTATACATATACAACAATGATTTATTGTTATTGAGATGGAATTTAGGAAGGATAGTTGTCTAACATAGGTCTCTGAAATGACACTGTATAGATCTCTGTGTGTATTTGCTTAATATTGTTTTTTTTTTTTCGACTTTTTGAGAGATTGATTTTGTTGTGGCTAATATTTTCCTTATTTTATTCCTTCCATATATCCTTTTGTTTCACAAGCAAGTTGATATGACTTCTAATTTTTGTTCTCCCGAAACCAATCTCTCCCTTTTCACCCATCACAAAAGAGTTTTGCATAAACACTGGCAGAAACTAACAAAATTATGTGCAAGCAGGACTACTGAATTGGATCATTGAATGAAAAAAGAAAAGAGTATGTCCTTGTATTGTTTGAAATGGTGAGTCAGCATTAATATAATTTCAATCAGATTATCACCATGTTAACTACGCACCAAATGATGTATAGGAACAGTAGCCATTGATCCAAATCTGCCATTGATGCGACCAACTATTTCATGAACCTGGCTTGTAAGCTTTTGATCTATAAATATGCAAGAAATAAAGCTGATCAGTCATGATTCGAAAGCCAAAAATAAGACCATAATCCAAAATGTACAGAAAAAATGAGTACATGATGTTTGACATGCCTGGGTGTATGTACAAATAAATAGAAAGAGGAAAAAGATCAGAAAAATTCAGTATCCCAGGCATGAACATTAATTAAGAAAAGTGTAAAGTGAATGTGGCATAATAGTAGTTCCATGAATATGTTATAATGATATGAACTTAGTATTCAACAAAATTCTTTTTCATTAATGAAACATATATATATATATATTATTTTATTTTATGTTTTTCAAAACACAACCAAACACTGCAGTATATATCAACTCTAATGTACAATAGATCTCTGAAATGATTCCCATTAATGTTAGCTAGCACCTTAAAGAACAAAACAATTTTTTGTCCAACATGAGATTCTAAAAATTACAAGTCCAAATAACAGTAATAGAAAACATTAAAATATCTTTTTATTTTTAAAAGAAATTACAACTTGTATTATTAAAAGGCATAGTCTTCCATTTGTAGAAACGAAAGGAAAATTGAAAGTTAGGAGCCCAAGTTGAAGGCAACTATACCAAACAAACCACAAAAACATAAAATAATGTGAGTAGCATACACTCGGGAACATCTGTTCTTGTCGGGACAGCGATTTGAAGCAAAACAACTTTATCACGCCAAGAAGGATTTTCTTCCAAAAATTTTTCAAATGCAAGAATTTTCTGAGGGATTCCTTTAATCATATCAAGGCGATCAACGCCTAACATTACCTGTCAAGGCAGGAAAAGGTGGTGATAATTCAATCAATAGAACCAAATCAAATAAGCACATAAATCCAAAAAAAAAAAAGGTGGCTGTCATGGGCTCATGGCGCCGCATACCAAACCAAACATATACAACTTACATAGTGAAATGCTGAAAGCAACATCCTCACCAGATCACTCCCAAATTAAGTGCACCATTACTAGAAGAATGTGGTATTAATTAAAAAGTAATATTTTCTAATTAAATAAGAGAGAGGAAAAAAAATCCTTATTAGTATTATACAGTGATAGCATGGTAAATGCTTTGCTTGCCATATATTGAAGATCAATGACCAACTCTCCTTGTAAGCTTAAGCTATTAGGTTGACATTGCATCAGGCCATTTGGTTTGGTATACTTGGTGAATATATTAAACTCTTGAGAGTCTTTAACACTTGGTGAAAGAAATTCCGTTATCATGTCAATGACCGACTTCCCTAAAGGCTAAGCAAACATGAAGCTCGTGAATGGTTTTTATATCTAACAATGATACAGCTTTCTACAGATAAACAGATTTGATGGATCTGAATAAGAAAGACATTATACAAGATTATATGCAAAATCTATCAGCCCTCTTCAGTTAAAAATAAAAGCGTGACTTTTCTTTTAAGAATAAAATGAAAATAGAAGAAGGAAAAACATTATATTCTTAATATTATATCCCAAAATCATTATTTTCTTTGATATTATTAGCAAGAGATGAACTAAAGCAACCCCTGAATGCAAACCTAAAATTTGTTTCTAGAAATACCATAGAATTTAAAATTGAATTAAGATATTTCAGAAATTAGGGTACAGAATAAATCAAATAGAATCTATCATGAGTTCTTAATAAGAAAAGGATAGAATAGTAAGTTGGAGATATAGTTGAATAGTAAACAGTAATTGTGGCATAGTGCTTTGCATGGTGTTTAGAGAAAGGGAATTCTATAGAACTTTCCCATGCTTTGATGACAAAATAAAATACAAGTATACAAATTTCCGATGTATACTAAAAACCATTACCTTTTATGCGTGTTTTCAAAAGTGACTAAAATTCAAGGAATATATATATATATATATCACTATTAAATATTATATTCACTAAAATAAACTAGATACTGGTAAATAGCAACAAAAAGTGTTGCTATATTTACTTTTTTTTTTTGTAATATCTAATAGTGTGATGTATATATCCTTAGAATTTTGGTCACTTTTGAAAAGTACATAGAAGGTAATGGTTTTTAATATATGCTGCCAATCGGTATACCTGTATTTTTTATTATAAAGATGACAGTTTATTGTGGCCAGCAATAGTTTTTAACACCATTTTTCGTCCCTTTCCATCCTATATGTTCTCACCAGCGTTATCTAAATTTTATCTCGTCAATCTTTAAAAGCTTTTCACTTTGTCAAAATAAGAATAAAACCCATAATCATAAAGACTGATAAGCAAGAACCATAAATCTAAAACAATTACAAAAATAACAGGAACAAGTAAAATAAGCTATAAGATATAAAGATGTGTTTGCTACAAAGTAAAAGACGCACCTTTCTGCCTTTAAATCTTTCTTGTAAATCTTTCATGTGAACTTGAACTGGGGGAAGGTCAAGAGCACGTATAAATCGGTCTGAGTCTATTCCAATTGGAAACTGAAATTCAAGGCAAACAGAATTAGAGCGTGTTTGGAATTCATTTTAAACATCAAGTGACGTGAATTTTCAGAAGCAAGAATATGTAGCTTTTGCATTAATCGTAGCAATTTTGACGTGAATTCAAGGGTGAATGTGGGTCACCAAATCGCTGTTAGACAGCTGTGGGCAGCTGTGGCGGGCGGCCAGCACCATATCTAGATTTCAAAGTGGTTTAAATCTTGAGATAAGAGACAAAGTTGAACTTTTGCCATATAGAGATTTGAATGAACTTGTTCAACTTTGCTCAAGGGTGGAGCATCAACTTAAAAGAAAATATTTTCAAAAAGACTCCACTCCCTCTTATCCCAAGAGTTTTAAGAAGGAGGGCCACTCTTCCCAACCTTTTCCCAAGGAAGAAAAAATAAAAATAAAAAAGAAAAAACATCTTTTAAGGCATCTTCCAAAGACACTAAAACAAGTGACATCAAGTGTTTCAAGTGTCTTGGCCGTGGGCACATTGCTTCACAATGTCCCACCAAGAAAACCATGCTTTTAAAGGGCCAAGATCACTATAGTAGCCTTGATGAAGCTACTTCCTCATC